CTTGTGTAGCAGTGATGTGTTGCTAGATACTTCTCATTGTTTATTATGTTAAATGTGTGATTTAATATAATTGTCAATGTCACAAAAACCTACATGGTCGCACACATAAGGACAGGTTGATAAGAGATAGAGAAAATAAGGAATGTCGTAAGGTACGATGCACTTAAGTGAATTATAGAACACTGTAAGGTATGATACACTTAAGTGAAATATGGAATATGGTAAGGTACCACGCGCTTAAGTGATATGCGGTATATCATAAGGTATGATACCCGTAGGCTTAATTGGGCTTTTAGCTTGCAGCCCATATAAGTGGTTCTATAAATAGAACCCTTGTGCTGAATCATTTTACTTGATGAAATTTCGGTCTTGAAAACCTAGCCGTATTTTGTCTCACTCTCTCATTCAAAGTTTCTGTTTGTAAGCAGCTAGTACTATGACCATAAGCGATCTGTTTGTGTGGACTGAGTAAAGAAGTTGTTGTTCATCAAAGTTCGTTATCACAACATCAAAGGTATGAATCACCATAATAGGTAATGATTTCTATCAATGACCATGCCCATTCGTAAGGATCACTAAAGGAAAATATTAATTTTCCGCTGTGTTTTGGATCATAATTTTTCTTCAGTGATATCAGAGCCACTTACAAAACCATGGATCTGATAGTTGTTTATTTTCTATATGTTTTGTATTAATAGGATTAAAACATAGAATGAATTGAATAAGAACCGTGTAAAAAAATTTGGCATCATGATGTGTACGATTTGGGCGAATTGATGTTGACTATGCTTCAGAATCCGACATTAGTATGGTGAAGAAGCCATACATCGGTCGTCCATAAGTTACACTAATATGATTGATCAACTTTATATATTATATAAACAATTATGGTGCAAATATGGTATATTGGATATACTGTTTTGATTTCTTCCATTCAATCACAAAATGATTGTTATTCTTTTGAAAGATCATTGGTCATTCGCTTCGGAATCCGATGTTAGTATGGTGCAGCAATGGTATATTGATCGATCATACTGAATTATCAATTGAGTTATGTTTGATGGTATGGAATTATTTGCATTAGGGTTCATGACGACACAAGGGTTATGTTGTCAGAAAGTTATGTAGATTATGGTTGTAACAACAAAATAGTTGTGTAAAAAACGACGCTGATTTCAAATGAATTATTCCCTTTAAATCAAATAAATTTCTTTTAAAAATATTTCCCTTTAATTAAAACAATTTTCCTACATTCTTGATAATAACAATAATTAAGAACGAGAAGTAAATAACACGGAATGTTTATACTAGTTCACTTGAAAACTATCAAGCTAGTCTAGTCCACCTGCCAAGGTGATTTCTCCTCTCTCAATCGAGGACTTAATCCAATAATCCAAATGATTATTACAATGCATAAGCTACCCGCAAGTGACTAACAAACTCTAAGACACACACGTCCTAGACTTCTTAAGAATACAGATCTAACTGGTCCCTTAAGGAAAATCAAACCTCTAAGACACACTAGTCCTAGACTTCTTAAGGATACATACCAAACCGGTCCCTTAAGGAAATCAAACAATTGTTTGAATATTATTTTTGTTTACAATAATATTGCTTCTATACAAGCTGAATATGTAAACTATTTTTAGAACAATAGACTAAAATGTGAAAGCTATGAACAACGCTTTTGCATGGATATTTAGTGAAAACTCGTTACTTTATCTCTTAGTCTTCAAGCCTTTATATAGCCAATACAATAATATATCCATGGAGGGGTACTCTTGGAATTTCCAGAAATATTTGCAGCTTGAGAAATCACGTAGGGAACAAGATCGTGCAGCGCATCCTTCCTTTCATGGTAGTGAAATGAAACGTTGATTGTATCATGTACTATTTGTACCATGTTAACATTATCTTATTTCCTTATGCACTTCAGAGGCTTCTGCAAGCATGAGTTTAGAAGCGAGAACATAACACAAGGTCATCAGAACTTCAGGTCTTCAGAGTCTTCAGAAATGCGTCTTCAGAGTCTTCAGCACTTGGTCATGAGAACCTTTTCTTAGAACCTTGGGTCTTCAAAACTTCAAGTCTTTAGAGTCTTTAGAACTTTTGTCTTCAGAGTCTTTAGTATTTGTTATTTAGAACCCTTTTTTAAGAACCATGGGTCTTTAGAACTTCATGTCTTCAGAGTCTTTAGAACTTCGTCGATCAGAATCCTCAGCACTTGGTCTTGAGAATCATTTGTCTTCAAAAACATTAGTCTTCAGCATCTGGACTTAAGTAGAAATTTTTGTCTTCAATTCTTCTGACTGGTTTCTTTAGACTTCATATCACAGCCTACACTTCAGAGTCTTATGGAATATCTTGCTACTGTTCATCAGAACTTGTGCAGCACAGAAGTGGAACTAATTTTCTTATAATGTCTTTGTCACGCCATCCATCAGAAGCAGAACCTGTTTGTTAAATACTAAAAAATAACAGACATTAGAGTATCAAAATTGTTCATACAAACATACTCATTTGTTATCATCAAAACTCGTAGATAGTATTGTAGAACCAAATCTTGTTTTAACAATGTGCCTTTGGTGTCATGGATGCAATCCTTCTCTTCACATGTTCGGTGAATATGCGAGTTCCTTGGGGGTTATATCCACATATCTCTATCCAAGGAAGACTTAGGGTGGTTAGGTATCTCTGTCGAGAACGATGTAGTTTAATCTTTGTGGTCATAACGCTTATCCATGCTTGTGGAGGTCATGCTATCTCTAGGTGCTTGCCTTTGGTTATCTCTTAAGGACGGTTGAATGAGTTATTTTCCCCTCTCATTACTAGTGTGTTTTAAAGGAAGGTTGAAGGATACCTTCCTAGATTTGGTTGGAATGGCCTCGATCTGATTTACTCCAAAATTAATATTGGATAAGGGATTAGAAGAGTTTATACCTTTATTTCCAGTCATCGTGAGTTGAGTTTGTTTTTTTTATCAAATATACTATATTTGTGCGACTTGTCGAAGCTAGGCATTTAGGTTGACGTGTTGGGTCTGACAAAGATGTCTTGGACGGTGTTCGCACACTGATGTACTAGGAACCTATAAGCAACGTTCGATGTTGATTCTCACTTCTATGCTATTTTTCATGGTAAAAAATATGACCAATCCACCATTATATATATTGTTGGTGCTCTTTCTGAGTGAGGGTGGGAGCTTTGGTATAATGCGGGACCAAGCTATCAAATTATCGAAGGTCCATGGATCTTTGGCGCCGTATGTATTTAGATCTGATTGCTGGAACTTTGATTGCTCGACTGCACCGAAAAGGAAGTAGTTACAGGAGATTCGCCGTCTATGAGGTATATCGTATTCATTTTTCCAGCGATGGAGACTACGAAAACCACCACTACCTCTGCACTCGAGGTTCTTAATGTCTCCCCATTTCTGGAACAACCTAGTGTGACTTGACCTTCGTTTTGTGGTTTGGGATCACTTGTTATTTGGGAGAAATGTTCCGACGATGGATCGCCGCTGGATTTCGCGACATCGTGGATCTCATCAGTTAAGATTAAATATGATGGAATTGAATCGTAGTATATAACCAATGTCCTCATAGCTATGTGTTGGTTAATTGTCTTTTCTCTCGATTCCAAAAGAGATCTGACTTTGGATCGAGAATGATCTACCTATAGAATTTCGCTGGAATTATGAGTCAATTCCCATAGACGGTATTATTGTTGCCTTTTGGAATTAGAATTAGGTGTACGTTGAAAGTGAGAAATCCTGAATCAGTAGTACTAATGTTCGATACGGCGGCGCGGGGTGGACCTACAAGATTAACACTCCAACAGCTAAGTCAATTCAAAATTCGAGATGAATATAGTAAAGCATGGAGATTAGAAAGTGTATCTTATATTTCGCGTGTGAAAATTTTTATATGTTGGATCATTCAGAGTGGATTGACGTAAGATTCAGCCATGACCTTGAGCTCCTTGAAAACACTATTTCCTTAAGTGTCAATCCATTTGCCGTTCCTATCAATCCAACCATTAAACTCTGGCCCGTAATTGGAATCCCTTTATAAGACCCTACTACTAAACTTTGACCCGTAATTGGAATCCCTCTATAAGACCAACACTTGACCTAACATCTCATTCTCTGTGCAACATCTAAGCCAATTCATTTCAGAGCCTCTTGTTCCTCATTTTATTGCAACCACTCATATTAAAATATCTCAAGTCCTCATCTGCTACAAGCATCTTTTTCTATAGTCATACTCAACTCACATTACATGGCTTTGTTGATTCAAAACTAATAGTTTTTAATGAGTAGATTAAATTTATAATTTTTTATTAAACTTTAAAACTATTTAATACTTTATAAATGAAGTTAAAATCCAATGTATGATGTAAAATCTTAATGTTATACACATCCAATTTTTATGCATAATCATTAAGATAATATATAAACATTGAACAATTGAATTGATAGAATTTAATTTCTACATATAATTATTAAGTATAGCAACTCAAACAAATCTTATTCTTGTAAGTTATATATATATATATATATATATATATATATATATATATATATATATATATATATATATATATATATATATATATATATATATATATATATATATATATATATATATATATAGGTCTCACTAGTCCAAAGTCCTAAAGATTCGCAGCCGTTTATCGTGTTGGATTTAGTCAGAGTGCAAATATATCTGAACAAGAATGAAACATCCTTGTGCATTTTATCTTATTTTGTTTACATTGCGTTATTTACTATAGTCTCCAAACTATGATAATGGTTAAACTATTATTCAAGCCGAACTATAGCCGCCCGTGGCAGCAAAAATATACCAATGGCAACATTAATTCTCCCTGCATAAGTCTTATATATATATATGCTTGTTTTCAACGTCAATCATATCTAACCAAATCAAAGAAAGAGCAATATTAGTACTTTCATTCATAGAGTGAATTGATCAAGCAATATGGCTCATTCTCGTGCTATTTTCCTCTTCACTATCATTGCTACTATCTTCTCAACTATGGCTGTGGCAAAAGATTTTGTAGTTGGAGATGAAAAAGGTTGGACACTTGGAGTTGATTATCAAGCTTGGGCCGCAAACAAGGTCTTTCGTCTGGGAGACACACTCAGTAAGTACATTCCATTCATATTTCTGTTTGTCTCTAATTTTGTCACACTTTATAAAAGATATAATCAATTTTGAATGAATGTTCAGCTTTCATGTATGATGGTGATAAGGACAATGTGGTGAGAGTGAGTGGAAGTGATTTTCAGAGTTGCTCATTTCCTTCGACAGCACCAGTGTTGAGAAGTGGACATGATACAATTGTATTGACAACTTACGGAAGAAGATGGTACATTTCAGGTTTTACCAATCACTGTAAACTTGGACAAAAGCTTGTCATAACTGTCTTGCCACCACAACAATTAGATTGGTCTCTAATACCTTCACCTTCACCCTCGCCCGTGCCTGCTCCTGAAGCTGCACCGACTCCGAATGCACCATGGACCGCCACTGTTCCCCGCCGATCCATGCTGCCAAAGAAGCTATTAAAAATGATTCACAGAAATATGATAGCTGTTTGAGATTGGATGTTACTTCATCATGTGTCATGTTTCAAAGAGGGGTTATTTTTTCCTAGTTACTAATAATTAACCCCTTTTATTATCATCATTATTATTATTATTATTATTAATTATTATTATTACTATTATTATTATTATTATTATTATTATTATTATTATTATTATTTACTTTGTTTTTGTTGGTGATGTATTAATATACAATTGTTTTTTTAATTTTTTTTATATAACATACAATTATTTATTTAAATAAAAAGAATTACATGTTTGCTAATAATTCTAAATCTGATCACTAAATCATATTAAATTACTTGTTATAACAGAAAATTGTGTACTGGTTACTTTATAATATGAATAAAGGAGAATCTTTATTATTTATTTTTGTATCATACATTTGGTTTATATCGAGAGTCATAGTTTCTATTGTAGATAGTGTATTTGAGCAAGTAGAGTATATATCTCCCAAACAAACTTAACTGACAAGTTACAAGATAGTTATAACTAAACTGTATGAACAAAGTGGTTAAGCTATGTATTAGTGTGTGATATCCACCCAAGTTGAAGGAGGATAGATGTTGATCATTCCCAATTTAGATAGAAGAATGTAGTAAGGTTGAAGTAGGAGACGCTTAGTGAAAAAACAAACAAGTTAGTCTTTGGATGAGTCTAGAAGTAATTTGAAGGTACCAACTTGGAGTTTCTCTCGAACAATATCGTAATCGATCTCTAAATGCTTAGTCTTTTCATGAAAATCGGATTAATTGCCGTGTGAATTAAGCACATGGGGTTTTAGAGCATAGAATTTGAATGTTTTGGATAAGGCAGAGCAATCATTATAGGTCACATATTGCTACAACAGTGGCATGATACTCAGATTTTAGAAGATTAATTAAAAACAACTAATTGTTTCAGTTGGACGTGTGATTCCATGTATAAGTAGTGCGGGGATTGAATTATAGATGTTTGAAAAACTTTGGCTTAAAACAAAATTATTTGTAAAACGAAAATTATACATGTTTGATCTTTATTTTGTTCTAATTTTGTTCTAATTTTGTTCCCAAAAATTGTTTTTGAGTTGTCACTAAATTCGAGAGCTTTTAGAAGGTTGTCCGCATGATTCTTCTTATACAAGAAAATAAAATTTGCAAGCTAACTTCTAACCAAATAATGAACAAGGCTTAGAGAGGTTGGTCTACAAACCAAAAAAGAGACTTTGTATAGGCAGATCTCGAACCAAGACGTAGTTTTGAGTTGGCTATCCTCCGAACTAAATCGGAGTTTGACACTAGCTAACCATGAACCAAATTGAAATTTTTACGGGGTTGATCTCGAACCAACTGAACTTTTACACCATGTTGAACTCAGAAATCAAGAGAGGTTTTAACCGGATTAATCTCAAACTGATAAAAATTTTAAACAGACTAAGCTTAAAAACCGTAGTGGAAACTTTCAGTGACTCACTAGTACAAATATTATATTTTATGACAAAACTTTCAACTCATAACGTAAAATTCTTAGACGCGCTGTGTTATTTTTTTCAAGAAATTATCATCTATTCTCTCGGTTTAAGCACAAAACTGAGGGCTAAACTAATTCATGTACATGGTTCGAGTCCCAACAATTACATTTTTTATTTTTTTCTCTTTAAAAGTTACTTTTTTTTCTTATTATTTAAGATTTTATTTAATTATTAAATATTCTATTCGGTCAGTTTCTCAAATAACTGAGGGGTATGATACTCAGATTTTACTATAAAAGGATTCATTCACTAAGTGTTACCCTCAACCTAACTCAAGTGTTCAACCGTTCCATACTAGTAAACATCATTCTTTCGAAAAGATTGCAAGACAACAAATATTTTTAGTTCTGTAATGTTGTTCTTTTTAAACCAACCAATAACAAATCATTTTTCTGTTCTTGCAATATATCTTACGTAATGGTGTTGTTTTTGTTGTTGTCGTTGTTGTTTCAATCTCTTGTCAATGTTTAATATAAAAGAAAACATATTTTTATTTTAAAATAACATTCTAATGTTGTCAATCAAAGAAAACTTTTTATAATATATTTTGAATGCTTCGGTTGACAATATTGAAAAATATATTCCTAATCATACTACAATGTTGTTTAGAATATAATCATTTGTATTATTATAGCAACATACAAAGAAATCAGTGAATGAAAAAAAATTAAAAAAGAAAACAATACATGTTACTTTAATTTGTATGATTCTTAATGAGGCTTTAGATATCTCCATGTTGATTACCATCATCTTAGGGTTTGAAAGGTTAAACCAACAGTGATTCTTGAAACCTGAGTCTTCACTTGAAAGTCGTTGGACTACACTATTGACTTTAAATATAAGTCTAGCTTCATCAAACATATTTTTCATATTTGACCTCTTGAGCTATCTTTAGCAGGTTCTTGACTTCAAGTGTTACCATTTTTGTACCCCAAAATTTTCCTCTCATTTTCTCCAAGACATTTTTCTAGGGTTCTCAAATGCTCAAGGTGGCTCAAGAATTGATTAGATAAATTCTCTTCCTAAGCAAGACGTCCATAACTAGGGTTTTGTATTTCTCAAGGGAGATTGTGTTTCCAAAGTCTCAAGTGGTTTTCATGTTTCTTCATATGTTCTTAAGAATTCTCATATCAAGCTTCATGTCTTGTATCACAAGTTTGCTCAGTCAATTGCTCAGATGACTAAAAATCAATTGTATTGGATAAAAAGTCAATTGTGATCAACATACAGTCAAACCTCAATATTTTTGGTCAACTTCATCATTTTAAAGACATATTCATCCTTTGATCAAGTCTTGGTCATGATTCCTCAAGAAAATCCCTTAAATCATAAAAAGTCAAAAGTTGTCAAAGTAAGATTTCCTTAGGAGAAGTCAACTAAACTTTGATCAGACATAACTTTCACATGCTTTATCAACTTTTCCTCAACCAAAGCTCATTTTTAAGGAAATTCAATTCTCAACAACTTTGATTCTCTAAGCTCAAGTCTAAAAAATGCATCATTTGAGAGATATAAGCCAATACATTATAGGTCATTTCAAAAGTCAACACAAAGATACTTTTTCTCAGGCAACTTACATCAAGATAAAGTCTCCAAATGCAAAAATGATGAAAATAAAGATTGTAGAGGACATCTTGAACTTTCCAAAAAAGTCTAAGATCACCTTCAAAATATTAAAATTGAGAGTTATGGTCATTTCAAGTTGGGCAATTTTGAGAGAATGCATGAATTCCAAATTGAGCAAATTTATACTTTTGGGTTATTGGGCCTAAGTTTTCAGATCCAAACGTGATCATGACATGTTTAAAGACACATAAGTTCATTCATGCATTATCTTTTAGTTTCATTTCATTTATCTTGATTTTTATTCAATTAAACTCAAAATAAATCAAATAAAATATAAAATTAATAGACTAAGGCACAAGGCTTTTGATTTCAGTCATGTTGGAGGCCCAAGATTATATGTGAAAGCTGTCAAATTCGTGCAAGGTTGATTGGTGCAAGATTGAGCCAAAAATAGAAAGTTTCCATACAAATTTTCAATCAAATCTTCACCTCTTAATGACACGATTCCTTCCATAATTTTTGACCTAATCTCATGTTCTATATATACCTAACAATACCAGATGCAAAGGACACGAAAAAGTTACCTTAAACACACCCTAAAGATTACAAAAATTTCAAGAATTAGGGCAAGCTCGAAACACCTGTTGCAGCTTTTCTCATTCAAAACCAACGATCCAATCATCTCCATGAAGGTTCCAAGAGATCATCCCTACCCTCTTTGAAGCCAAAAGCATTCAGGAAGGCCACGTTCCATCCTCACCGGTTTGGTATAATTTTTCAAATCTAAAACTTACGATTTATACATTGTTAATTAACTCGGTGTGTTTGTATGTGTTTATATCCATCATTAGAACAGGTTGGACGCATAACATGTGAGATCTAATTCCATAATGACCAAGTGCCATTGTTAGGGAACCGAGCTCGTGATTTCTTTAAACCCTAGTTACAGGCTGTTTCAATCATAATAGACACCACCATTAGATTTGTGAGGCCTTAATTAATGGACAAGGATGCTTTTTATTCTCACCTTGCCTTGATTTCGCAGGTTTTGCAAACACCCTCGCTGGAGAAGAAGGAGTTGACCACCAGAGGTGGTGGTTTGACTCTTACATATTTATTTTATATTGTTTAATTGTTGCATGACTAACACGAAACATGGAATAGCCTAGCGGCAAGAGCGCGCACGATAAGACGTTGGTACTGAAGGGAGTGGATTCGATCCCAACCTTTTGACAATCTTTTGTTTTGATTTTTCCAAACTAACATGTTTAACATATTTTTCTTTGTTCTTGTTTCTAAACACTAAAGGCGCGTAGCTCAGTTGGTAAGCGTGCACGCTGGAGAGGCAGGGGGCATGGGTTCAACATCCACCCCCAACATTCTTTTTTCCTTTTTTTTTACTAACTCTATTCTCTCCCTTTTTTATGTTACCCCTAATTTTTTTAATAACCTTAATTATTTTTCTATAATCAATATTAAAATAAATTAGGTTTAGTTTCTTTCTAATAAATTAATTTTGATTATTTATTAATTAAATTAATTAGGATAATTAGTTTCGATTAATTTAATTAGATAACTTTTATTAATTAATTAAAATCAATTAGGTTTAAGGTTAATCATTAAATTTCTTTTCGTCAAAGAATCACAAACAACTTCCCTTTTCCCTTTATTTTACAATCATCGCGTACTTTATTATTTTTGTATTTTTCCGATTATGTAACTGCTACAGTTAGTAATAGTTTAAATTAGGGTTTTACTCCCCCCCCCCCCCCCCATTTTTATTATTTGTACCCCCACCCTCGGAGCCTTGTAATAGCGTAGATTTTCATTTCCCGCACTTTACTGCTTTATTATTGCTATTACTGTTTAGTTAATGGGCATGTATGGAAAGATCTAAAACCAACCGTTAGATAACCCT